GAGAAGATGTGAGAAGATGTGAGAAGATGTGAGAAGATGTGAGAAGATGTGAAGATGAGGAGAAGATGGGAGGATGAGAAGATGTGAAGATGAGGAGAAGATGGGAGGATGAGAAGATGGGAGGATGAGAAGATGTGAAGATGAGAAGAAGGTGTGAAGATGAGAAGATGTTTTACAGACCCCCACTATTGGAAGAACCCTGCGCTCAGACGCTCTCGGGAAAAAATTGAAACAAATCATAGAAAGCCTTAAATCACCTGGGATGCCCAGGGATACCAGCACAGCCAAACTACACAGAACCATCTAGCCTGGCCAAACACGTCAGAGTCACTTGAAAGTCACTGGGGGAACTGGCTCTGTCCAGCGCCCAACTGATCTTTCCAGAATTGGTGCAGGCTCCTGATCTCTGTGAGAATCATCGCCTGCCCGCTCAGCACCTGCGCAAAGAGCATGAAATCGTGCTTTTCTTTCGTGGTGGAAGCCGTTTGGAAGCCCAGAAGAGATGGATATCCTTCCTACTGCATGGTTGCCATGAAAAGTTTGAATCTTGAGAAATCACTTCTATCCGCCGACCCCAGCAAACTGCAGGGGGAGCGCGTTCGAGAAAAAGTGTCGTTGTTAGGCACTAGCTTGCCTTGACCTTCCCGGCACCCTTGGCGGTTAGTGCCGGCCTGAAACGCATCCCGGCGCCCTTGGCAGCCCCTTAAACGTTCCCCGGCGCCCTTGGCGGCCAAGCGCCAGCTACATCTGCCGGGCGCTTTCCCTAGATTTTCTACGGGCTTCAGGGCGCTTTCCCTAGATTTTCTATGGGCTTCAGAAAGCGACGTTAGGCACTAGCCTGCCCTTAAACGTCTCCCGGCGCCCTTGGTGGCCCAGCGCCAGCTACTTTGGCCATCTGCCGGGCGCTTTCCCTAGATTTTCTATGGGCTTCAGAAAGCGACGTTAGGCAGTACAGTAGCCTGCCCTTAAACGTGTCCCGGCGCCCTTGGCGGCCCAGCGCCAGCTACTTTGGCCATCTGCCGGGCGCTTTCCCTAGATTTTCTATGGGCTTCAGAAAGCGACATTAGGCAGTAGATGGCAGTAGCCTGCCTTAAACGTCTCCCGGCGCCCTTGGCGGCCCAGCGCCAGCTACTTTGGCCATCTGTTTTCTCTGGGCCTCAGAAAGCGACGTTAGGCACTAGCCTGCCCTTAAACGTGTCCCGGCGCCCTTGGCGGCCCAGCGCCAGCTACTTTGGCCATCTGCCGGGCGCTTTCCCTAGATTTTCTATGGGCTTCAGAAAGCGACGTTAGGCACTAGCCTGCCCTTAAACGTGTCCCGGCGCCCTTGGCGGCCCAGCGCCAGCTATTTTGGCCATCTGCCGGGCGCTTTCCCTAGATTTTCTATGGGCTTCAGAAAGCGACGTTAGGCACTAGCCTGCCCTTAAACGTCTCCCGGCGCCCTTGGCGGCCCAGCGCAGCTATTTTGGCCATCTGCCGGGCGCTTTCCCTAGATTTTCTATGGGCTTCAGAAAGCGACGTTAGGCACTAGCCTGCCCTTAAACGTTCCCCGGCGCCCCTGGCGGCCCAGCGCCAGCTATTTTGGCCATCTGCCGGCCGCTTTCCCTAGATTTTCTATGGGCCTCACAAAACGACGTTAGGCAGTAGCCTGCCCTTAAACGTGTCCCAGCGCCCTTGGCGGCCCAGCGCCAGCTACTTTGGCCATCTGCCGGGCGCTTTCCCTAGATTTTCTATGGGCTTCAGAAAGCGACGTTAGGCACAGCTGAGTCGAGACGTGTCCTGTCTAAAAGTTCTCCAGGTGCTGGATACTTTGTGCCAGATCATCTGCAGTGTGCACCTGACGTTGTGAACGTCGTCAAGCTATTCGAGCTTCAAATCCGACGTCAACAAACCACTTGCACGGCCATCTTTCTGGGACGAGCAGAGTTTGAAGAATCCGACGCCCATGCGACATCTTTATGCCCTGAAAGGAGGCAATGTTCTACTTGAATCTACTTGATACAGCTTTTTTTTATCAACTTCCCATCGAAGAAACAGGCAGAACAATCAAGACATGAAGACGGTGAGCTCAAGAAACATTCTGCCTATTCTAGTGGATGCCCGGGGTCGGCGGCAGGGGGCGGCAGCCCTTTAATTCGGCTCCGCCGGCTCCCCACGAGTGGCTTGCCCTACGAGCGTCCCAGAGCGACTAGAGCTCTATGGTGAGGCGCGCCCCAAACCGCTGACCCTCCGACGCCGGGCCCCGAAAAACACCAAAAATCCTTCAGGAGGGTGGGGGAGAGCTTTTTGGACGGAATCCGGGTCGCTCATAAGCGTCTCCAAGAGCATAATCCCGCCCCCCCCCGTTTTGAGGGTACTTAAAATCGGAAAAAAGCGCCGTTTTGACACATTTTTCGGACGTTTTAACGTCTTTTGCGGGAGCAATTCAAAAACGCAGAAAATGCTGCAAATACCAATACTTTTTGGACCCGAGATGCACAAGACACTGCAAATACTAGTGTTTTTGAAAGCCAAGCAAAAAAACACTGTAAATTACAGCATTTTTGGCGAATTAATCGCAGAAAATGCTGGTATTTACGGTGTTTTTGCAATTTCAAGAAAACGTGGAAGGCACGAAACACTGTAAATAGCGGTGTTTTGGCCACTTCTGGACGCTGAAACGCTAGTATTTACACAGTTTTTTGCCCGTGGCGGCGCCAAACCCCTGTAAATTACAGCATTTTCTTCCCTTTTTGAACCGTTTTTTTGCGTTGATGAACGCAAAAAATGCTAGTATTTACGCGTTTTTCAAAAAATCGAAGATTGTGACGTGAACGAAACACTGTAAATAACAGTGTTCGGGCCACTTTCGGGGACTAAAACTGTGGTATTTACGTGGGTTCTTGCCATCTGACAGCGCAAAATGCTGTGAATTACAGCACTTTGTGCGCTGTTTATGTTCAATTTTTTAACCTGCGATGCTTTCACCTGTTCTTTGCCTTCTTCCACAAGAAACAATGTTGCAGATTGAAACGGACGACAGCGTGACCCGAAAGAAAGCTGGAGGGAGGAGTCGCACAGAAGCTTTTACACACACAGGGGCTTTTACACAGAGAAGTCTTTACACAAAGGAGCTTTTTACGCACAGAAAGTTTTACACAGCGAAGTCTTTACTCTAAGGAGCTTTTGCACACAAACGTCTGAGAGCTTTTACACACAGAAGCTTTTACACGAAGAAGTCTTTACACAGAGGGGTTTTTACACACAGACGCGTTTGCACACAGAAGCTTATTTTACACAGAGAAGCCTTCAAACAGAGGAGCTTTTACACACAAAAGCATTTACACACAGCAGGCTTTTACACACACAGGGGCTTTTACACAGAGAAGTCTTTACACAAAGGAGCTTTTTACACACAGAAGGTTTTACACAGAGAAGTCTTTACTCTAAGGAAGGAGCTTTTGCACACAAACATCTAGGTGCTTTTTCACACAGAAGTTTTTACGCGAAGAAGTCTTTACACAGAGGGGTTTTTACACACAGACGCATTTGCACACAGAAGCTTTTACACAGAGAAGCCTTCACACAGAGGAGCTTTTACACACAAAAGCATTTGCACACAGCAAGCTTTTACACACACAGGGGCTTTTACACAGAGAAGTCTTTACACAAAGGAGCTTTTTACACACAGAAGGTTTTACACAGAGAAGTCTTTACTCTAAGGGGCTTTTTACACACAGACGCGTTTGCACACAGAAGCTTTTACTCAGAGAAGCCTTCATACAGAGGAGCTTTTACACACAAAAGCATTTACACACAGCAAGCTTTTACACACACACAGGGGCTTTTACACAGAGAAGTCCTTACACAAAGGAGATTTTTACACACAGAAGGTTTTACACAGAGAAGTCTTTACTCCAAGGAGCTTTTGCACACAAACGTCTAGGAGCTTTTTCACACAGAACTTTTTACGCGAAGACGTCTTTACACAGAGGGGTTTTTACACACAGACGCATTTGCACACAGAAGCTTTTACACAGAGAAGCCTTCACACAGAGGAGCTTTTACACACAAAAGCATTTACACACAGCAGGCTTTTACACACACAGGGGCTTTTACACAGAGAAGTCTATACACAAAGGAGCTTTTTACACACGGGAGCCTTTTGGAAGCAAATTTCGGCATTTTGGCGGCCCCTCGGCCGGCTATTGAATTTCTCTTCTGGGATCATTGGGAAACGGCCGTTTTTGGCCAAATCCTGGCCGGGAGCCTTTTGGAAGCAAATTTCTGCCATTTGGCGGCCCCTCGGCCGGCTATTGAATTTCTCTTCTGGGATCATTGGGAAACGGCTGTTTTTGGCCAAATCCTGGCCGGGAGCCTTTTGGAAGCAAATT